TTTTATAACTGAAGTAGAAATAGTGAAAAATAATTACAGAAGAGATCTAATAGAGGCAAATGGAAAGAATAAAGGAAGATGGAATGACTACTGAAATCCATACAAATAGGATTATAGAATGACAGAAACATTTGTGCATCTTAAGCAAGTTAATATTCAACATTACCTCCTACCAGGTGGGAAATGGATAATAGTATGCTGGCATGCAAAGTAATCTCTAGATTAGAAATCCTAGCTTGGACAGAATGGTAGGACCACACTTGGGGTAAAACTGAATTTTACTTGTGCTTGTGGCATACTGTCAAAAAATGTACCCAAGCTGACTGTTATTGTCCTCACCATTAGCAGGAAATACTGAATATGGCACAGGTATACATCTTCTGTATGTTACTTAAGGGTATTATGTGAAAGCCTAAATTGACAAAGGCTACGATGGGACACAGACTGATCAGCATTGCAAATGGAAAGATCACTCAGGTTTAGGTTCTACCGAAGCTGACCAGAAAGTATATCAACTCACTTGCCCAACATACACTATACTTTGAGGACATAGTGGCGTAGAGTTGATTGTGCAGTGTTGTAAATTGACATACAGAATACTTTCCCCACCATTACTATGTGGTTCAGAACCCTCTCTTTTTTATGTACATATAAACATTTTACTTTAATATTTTTCTCTTTCTTTCTTTCTTTCTTTTTCTTTCTTTCTTTTTCTTTTTTCTTTTCTTCTTCTTTCTTTCTCTCTCTCCCTCTGTTCTACCTCCTGCATTATCCAACTACATTCCAGATTTGCCTTGTTATGTCTATAACTACATAACTATAACTATAAATTCTGAGAGTACATTTATAACATACCCTCCTCATCACTAGCTTCTCTCTTTTCTTGGTTTTGTATAACTAGAATTTATAGTTGCCAGTCAAAGCTTAACTGGGTTAATCTACCCATCATCTCCAGTCTTTATCAAAATTAAAATATTCTCATATCTTTGAAGTGAGTTTCAGTCATATCCAGTAAATACTTACTACTACTTCTTCAAATGTAATATGCAACATCCCTGTGGTGTATTTTATCACATACCTAGGCCTACAGACTAATAATTTATTTATTTTTTATATAAAAATGTTATATCATGCTCTTCTAGTACTTATGCACTATTGACATATGTTAATCAGTTTACTGATAATTGATAACATATCCTTACATGAATATGGTTATTGGTGGTGAAAAGTTAAACTTTTGCTGATATTTCTGATAAGTAAGGATGGCATTTAAATTGGGAAACAAGGCAAGGTAAACCTCTACTCAGTGCTAAATGAAGCACGATGTGAATTAAAATTGCCAACCTAAGATTTAACTTTTATTCAAATCAACAAAATAGCTGATTTTTTTTTAACTCTGCCCTAACACTTATTATAAAGAAACATTTGTCAGTAGAAGGCATACATTTATTCCTCCCTCCCTTCCTTCTCACCTCCGTCTGTCTGTCTCTCTGTATGTATTTGTGTGTTTGACATTACTATGAAATGGAAGATTAAAAATACATTGATAGAGAGGAATAGAGTTGAATAAAAACAGAATTGGAAGCAGGTAAGTGGTAGTTCAAAGAATGATGAATAAATGTTAAGCATGATAAGACGTATTCTGAAACGGGGATTAGTTTAACACATGATGGAAGGACAATAGAAAAAAGAAGAGCTGCATTCATGCATTTATGCATTACATCAGGCAAAAAGGGAGAAAGAGGTATGTGACTTTCAAAAGGCATGTGAAAGACAGGTAAGGGTAAGTATCTGTCAAATACCAATTTATGTCATGACGCACATCATCAGATATACAGTAATTACTTTTTTAATATGTCTTAGCTATTGCGTTCATTTTACTTACCTTATTATCAATGATGCCACTACAATGCGATTTGATGGATACTATTTATTTCTCTTGCTCTTGGAAGCAGAAACTTCTACAAACGGTACAGCAGGACACATTTACACTATTATTGTACTTTAAAAAGTCAGAACAATTTGGAATTTCAGCTTAAGACAATGTTCATCACATTTATCCATCAATCTTTTGCAGAAACAGATACTCTAGTATGTACGCAGTGGGCAGTTGTCATGCATCATAGATGTAAAGCTAGAATGCTAGAGCTTTGGTGTAGAAGCACTAATTTCAGTGCTTAGTGGTGCAAATGAAATTATTGTTGCTCTGATTGGCTAAGTTTGAATTGCATCATCAGACTTACCTTACCTAAACCTGGACACTAGTAATGTTGGGCCATGTTAATAGTAGACTACCAGGGAACACCAGACCTGTAGAATATACTGGGAAGTAAAAAAAATAAAAATAAAGAATCTAGAAGGGCATAGAGGTAAAGCACTTCTGTACTGTTGTTCAGGGGAAAAAATCCTATATGTATATGAAGTCTCCAGGATTCAAGCTTGACAAAGAAATTTTATATCATTGGTGTAGGAGAATTGCTTCCTATTCTACTTTTGTACAAATATACACATAGGCCAAGAAATTTTAAAGCACTAAGATGATGCAGAAAGATGTATAATCGCAGAGCTTTGCATATGACTCCCATTAACATAAGTAATTTAAAAACTCAGAAAAATGCCTGAGGCATTATAAATAGAAGTAATATTAAGACATCCATGCAGTATCAAGCAGCGTTTATATTTTGTGTTATACAATTAGGTATTGAAATGCATATGCAACTTTTAAATGGAAAAATACCACACAAGAAATTAAACAACTGATGTAATCTGTTTAAAGTCATTGCTATGTGATATTTATGCACAGCTCTGAACTAAATTCAGTCTTTGCAGCATTCATTTCCGCTCATTTATTTGTTACGTTAGCGATGCTTCTTTCTTCAAGTTATGAGATGCACAACTGTGAAAAATATTGTTTTGTAGCTATCCAAAAGAGAGTAATACTCATAAATAGGCAATTTCTTTCACTTGAATGATTTGAATTATTCAAGGTGGCAAAGAATTTTGCTTTCAGGAATATAGAGTTCTTCCTAATTAACACCTTTAAACTGGCATGTGTACTTATATATTTATTTATTTCTGGAAAGTTTTTATGAACCTAACTGTGGTCTCCCTTTTAAAAAGACCTTTGTCTTAATGCCTCCATAAGATAGCATCAACAATCTGTTCCACAGGTGTTTGTTGAGACATTCTCACGATTAAATTAAAGGATATATGGAACATTAAACTAATGCAATATCAAGCATTAGGAGAAAAACAGTATGGGACACAGATTTGAAAGGATTAAAGTCAAAGTGTCTTCTGCTGCACCCATTTATCATTGGACACTGATGGTTGACTGGTAGAGTACAATAATGAAGTAATGTTGAGTACCTAACATTACAGCTTCTCACAGAGTCCTTGAGAAAAATGGGATATGATCAATCTGAAGAGAAATGAGAGTATGGGAAATGTAGAAAATATCTGCTAAGTCACTTAAAAAAAAAAAAAAAGACTCTAGCATGCTAAAGATGTTTTACCTCACTCTAAAATCTAACATAGCCACTGTGCTTAATTGCTTTTCCTGACAAGCCTCCTTCCAGATCAGGTGGATATATCAGCAAGAATACAGTCTTTCCTAATCAATAAATATGCATCAGTGAGGAACCCATCTATGCCATGATTGAGGTGGGTAGGAATGGTGCACCAGTGACATGCAACAATCCCTATCTATTGACATTAACAGAGAAAGACATATCTAATTAGTAAAAGACATAATAATGCTGAGTAAACATGTATTATCAATTGCTTGATTGCCTAATTAATTGTTAGACATCTTTCCAATGTTCAAATAAGAAAGACACTGCATTTTGAATTAATAGAGTTCCAAAATCAATATAAATGATTCTGAAAAGAACATAGAATAACAAATGTGTTTCTCAAGAATGCTATCTTCTTGGACCAACTCAAAGTTTGTGTAAAATTAAAGGAGGGGTTTTCTTTCAAATCCATTTTTATGGTCTAATAAAGCAGGTTATTGTGAAAGTTAATTTGGTTCAAATTCCATCTACATCTGTTTATATTTCCTTCATTATTTTCAGCTGTTCCCTTTAATTAAAGCCTTCACAAGTTTGTGAACCTCAGTTTCTATGCCTTTGCACATTTAATTTATACATATGTCAAAATTACAGAAAATGGCTTTCATTCTATATCAGTTGTGACTTAGAATTTGTAAAATTTACAGTGAATTACAATATTTCATTTAGATTATTAATTAGCTAAAATATTTCATCTGGATATAAGAGCTTACATGGGAAGGAATGAAGGAAATCTGTCTATATCTAGTTAGCTAGCTAGCTATCATCTATCGGCTATGAGTAAAAGTAATGTGCAAATGCAAGGACTATACGGTAGTCCTTGCTTAGCAACTACAATTGGGACCAGCAGCTCTGTCGTTAAACAAAGTGGTCGCTAAGTAGGAAATTACGTGACCATGACTGTGCTTTCCTTTTCCCAACTCCCCTATCCTTTGGAATGCTCACCTGGGAGCTGGGATAATTATCAAGAAGGTAATAATTGCTTGTATTTATATTCATTAGAGAGGAATTACAAGAGAGTAAGCAGGCACAAAATGGGGAATACAAATAAAAAACAATGCCCTGGCACTGTGGCTGCAACCATACTATGCAAACAGCCCAGTGTATTCCCCATTCTGTGCCTGCTTATTCTCGTGTAATCCCTTCCTATCTAATCTCTCCATTTGAGATTAGTGGAAATCACTTTTTTTTCCCTCTCCCCTGCAGAAAGCAAGGGAAGGGATTACAAGAGAGTAAGCAGGTACACAATGGGGAATACACTGGGCTGTTTGAGTAGTATGCTCACAGCTCACAGCCCCAACCATGCTTGGGGCTGCCAACACTGCTGCATTCCTTTTGATGTGTATTCTCCATTGTGTGCCTGCTTATCTCTTGTAATTCCTTCCTCTCCAATCTCTCCACACTGCAAAGGGGAAAAAAAGAAAAACCATAGACCAGGCACAGGACAACACATACTGACTGTAATGGCAATCACATGACTGAGGGATGCTGCGAAGGACATAATTGCAGGCACTGGCTGTAAAGTTACTTTTTCAGCACTGTTATGATTTCAAGCGGTTGCTGAATGAGGCAGCCATTAAGTGAGGACTACCTGTATTTTCAGTTTTACATCTTTCCTTTCTAACGCTGCCTGTTACTATCTCACCCTTGCTACAGTTGGGCTTCCAGCATATGACCTGTTATCACTACTGTTCTACAATCTTTGGAACATTTTGACCATTTGTTTCAAAATGATCAGATCCAAGGAACTGACCAAAATGGAGAAAAAGCATTTTGTAATATGCAACAATGTACAGTGTGCTCCCTCATTCAACATGTCAGCTCCATAAAGCAGATGTGAAATCTAGACTTCTTGAAAGTAAAGGTAAGCATATTTTTTTTAAAATACTTGATAGGGTCAGTTTTCCATTATAACTGTTCTTTTTTTTAACAGTCTATCACAGAATGTACAGGAATGTATCCTGTGCCTTTGTCAGATACACTTAGAAGTGGTAGTAACTAGTAGGTACTGAATGAAAACAGCTATCAACTCATTGCTTATTCTAATCCTTCTCTAAAAATGCATATGAAACATATGTGCTTTACCACCTTTTTTGCAATTATCATTAATAACCCATGTTTTGTATCTCTGCTATTATACAGTTTATGCAAATATCAGGTACAAGAAAAAAAATAGTTTGAAATCAACTCTACTCACAAACCAGAAAAATAAATAGTTAACATGGATCCAAGTTACAGAACTGTTTAAATAAATAAGCAAACTGTCTCCTGTGCATGAAATTATTTAAGACTGCAGAATATAAATTAGAATACCCATTACTTTTAAAATTCTTTCCTTAAAATCTAAAAATGTGTCTCTTCAAATTGATGTTATGCAAGAGTTATACTATACATTGTACTTAAAAATAGTAACAACTATAATATTAAAATGTGGATACACATTCAGGTAGGTAGGCTGATAAGGTATGTGTATGCCATTACCATGTGCCAATTTCCAAAAGCTGCCCCTTGCACCAGAGAAAACACATCTATGTGTTGTTCTTTAATTATCCTAATCAATTTATATGCCTAGAAGATACTCTGATCTTCCTTACCATGTATAACAACCATGGAAGAAAGTTTCATGAATAGACACTCTTATATTGAACTGCAACCATTATCTAACTGTGATTAATTACATAGGGTCATTCCACAATCTATGAAAATAATAGGAGGATACTCCCATTCACTGATTTAAATGCCTCTGGTTCAATTTGAATTCCATTTCATTTGGGACAAACTGAAATGTACGTACTGGGAAATAACGGCTTAAATGATTTATATTAATAAATTTGTATAGGAGATAAAATTGAGCTGAGCATAAAATAAATACATTATAGCAAGATGAATTATACATTAATCTTATTCAACTTCTGGTATAATTTTTAAAAAACCACTCTCATTCAAAATTCTTTCAGAAAGAAGTGTATTAAAGCATTTTGTTTATGAACCAGATTTACTTATTCCTTCCAACTACAAAATAAACAGAACTTCAATAAGTTGGATACCAATTACCAATGCAAACCTTGAAATACTGGCTCTGTTTGGAAACTGCATTTTTTAAATAAAAGCAGCTGAAGCAAGTCCATCCATATGAAACTGCAGCACAATAGCCAAAGACATTTATTCTTCAAACATGTGTAGAATTGGTAGATGGTGGTGTGTCGATATTACTCTTATTATCTTTAACTTCATTCAGAGGTGAGTTGTGACCAATCTGGCATTCAAACACTTGCTTGTAGGCCTTCCTAAAATTCTCAGAAAGGAATGCATATATAATAGGATTCACTGAAGAATTACTATAAGCCAGGCAGTGTGCTGTTACTCTGAAGACAAATGAAGCTTGAGTCAGGGGGAAATCCCCAAATTCAGCCCAGAGGTGGACAACATGATGCGGCAGCCAGGATATTCCAAAAACCACTACAACCACGAGGACAGTTTGAGCTGTCTAAAAGAGGGAAAAGGAAGTACTGTGAAAAGGCTGCCACACAACTGAGTTGTACAAATAACTAATGCACCTTAAAAGCAATGAAAATAGAAAGGATGTGTGCAAGCACACCAAATCATCCAGTATTTTAGACAGTGGCTCAATAGGTTTAATAAGACCAAAGGATTATTTTATGATGAGCATTTACCCCTTCAAATCCATAGATAGCAATCCTAAAAACACTTAAGAGCCATTTGAGTTATATCCTTAGGAGTGCCTTCTAATTATCCATTGGCATGCTGAACTTTCAATATTAACCTTGTCAAAACCTTTAACTCAAAGTCCCCTGTAGACCTCTGGATCTCAAGTGACTCTGAAGAGATTTCAGACCCAGTTATGCTAGCCACTGGTCCAGAAATCTCTAAGTCAGATGCCTATGAAGGTAACTGTCTCTTGAATACAAAGAAACCAAAATTTAAGAAACAGGGAAGATAGTTTGCCAAGTAAGAATTTTGGTATTTCCAATTAAGTGACCAGCTAGCCACATGTCAGTCTAACCAGAAAAAAATAAAGAGCAGGACTTGGTTGGCAACCTATACTGTACAGATATCTAACTTTCTTAATGCTAAGCGCTACCCATTTTGGCCTCTGAAACCCATGTGGAGTCTGGCTAGGGGTTGTCATGAAATCAATGGCATAGAAAGGGCAAAAATAAAAGGGAGGGAAGCTTGATGGGGTAAAGAGATAAAATACAGTAGGTTCCTCATGACTTGTAGCTTATGGCATCCATTTTGCCACTCAACTGCACCAAAAACCAAGAAAAAGATACCAATTTTAGTATGTTTTAAAATAGATTAAAAAAAAATAAAAAACAAGAAAAATTCCAATCCTTCTTTTTTAAAAGCAGAGGGAAAAATGGAAAATAGAAAACTTCAAACCCATTTCTGAGGATGCCCATTTTTCAGATTCCTCACTTATGTACTAGGAAGAAATTCAAAGAAAACAAAAACATACAGTGAATTAAATATGTATTTTACCAATGATAATTCTGTGGAGATCTCATTGCTCATTTATAAGGTAACGAGAACATTTTGTTTTCTTGTATATTCAAGATTTGTCATATGATAAGCAATTGATCAATTTTTCATAGGCTATCTGAATTGGCAGTTGGTATCAGCATAGAATTGAATAAAAAGTATAATTTGTCTTCATCTAAAAGGCTCTGATTCTCACTATTTTTACTTAGGTTTTTTTTTAAAAAATCAGCTTTTACTATATCATCTGCTGATAATAGTGAGCCATAACTCTTTCTGTCCACAAACCTAGCTGAAGCAAAAGATAGATCGTTTACATAACTTAATTTATAGGCATCTTTCATTTATCCTTTTTAAAAACTCTTGAGGCATATATGTTCCAACCAAACTATCTTTGATATAACTAATGACAATTTAAAATAATGAGAAATGAGCCCTTGGACAGTAGTAATTGTATATAATAGGCTGAAAATCTCTTGCAACATCTTATTCTGTTATAGCTCAGAAGTCATTATACCATTATTGATATGGTTTGCAACCAATGAACTTCTACACAGTTGCTCTTGTTTATTTAATGTAATTTTATAGATTTTCCTTAAAAAGTAAAATATATGAAGAATAATTTCACCAAACACCAAATACATTTTAAAACCATTTATGTTTACACATCAAAGCCAGGCTGTGAAATGTGCTCATGAGTAAATGATTTTGTGAGTAAGCACATCAATTCATTACTGAAAAGCTTGCTGAGCTCCTTACTCTTGGCTTGTTTTGCCTTTGGTTAAGCTGCTGTTATAAAAAAAACCCAAAGTGTACAATGATATACAAGTGTTAGCAATCTTCTCAGTGCAATCACCCACCTCCTCACAAGATTGCTAAATCTTGCAAGATTCTGGCTATACCACCCCAAATCTTGCAAGAACTTCAGCATTAAAATCTCATGGAAGATCTTGTGCAAAATTGATGAAGTCCCATGTGAGTTCACTAAAATCTTCTGAATTTAACTGATTTTGCAAGATTTCAGCCATTTGTATTATTCTAGTTTTAATTTAATATTGGTGGATCATGGGGTAATTATCAGCAAAGAGTTATATTGTACACAATATATCTGTGAGTAAGCCCTAAAGAATTAAGCATGACTTATTTCTGAATTGTACATTAAAGTACCCTATCCACTTTGTCTGTCTGTTTTATTTTATAGTCTGTCCAACTCCCAAGTGACTCTGAGAAGCTTACAATTAGAAACCAATATATATACTGTATATATAAACATATAAAAGATAATGCTGACCAGAAGAGCAAAGTATTCAAAACAAGACTAACACAAAACAGACAAAACTACAATCACCCTGTCCCCAAGGCCTGGGAGAACAACCAGGTTTTGAATATTCAATATCTGCCAAATAGCAATATCCTGTACAAGAGTCCTGGAGAGGATCCCATAGCCTGTTCTTTCCCAGGAGGGACATTGCCCTAAATAGGGCCATTGGGCAGCTACTGGCAGAGGCAATAAGGGTGGAGTAATAAGAATATCTTTCTGTCCTTATCACCACAGTATAATCTCTGCTGTGGGCTGCTATTCATGCTGAATCGGATCTACTTTTTGTCTTCCTCCAATGGCACTCCAGGCAGCTCTTCATGTACTTCATTTCCCAGAAAGTGGATGTGACAGAAATAGAACTTATCTCAAAGCAACTTTAATAATGATCTGTGTAGGTAGAATTCTTCAATTCCATTTTAGTGTTTCTTGATGCTTAATTATTTAATTTTTGGGGTCTGCATGTATTCAGCAAATAAACATAGAACATCACAACATAAAGGGGAAAAAAAACAAATGAAAGGATATTTTAAGAAGAATTGGAGGTCTTTTTTCCTATGGAGAGTTTCTTTAAGTGGCTGTTCCTTTATTACACAATGCTCTTTTTAGAATACTGTATAGGGCTCACAAGGCAAGGACATTTTTAGTTTATGTTAGAAAATGTCAGCATCTATTGGAAAATGTTTGACTGTTCCAGTGATATGTTATAAATAAAGGTATAATCAAAATGGATTATTGTATTTTCTAAGATAACCTGGTAACTGTTATCCTTTATTGTAAGGTATTTTTTTTTAAATAAGTTTGTGGGTTTCATTTAGCCTTTGGTAATGAGAAAAAACTAATAGGGTATAATAAACCTTCTGGTATATTTAAATGATTAAATATAAATTTTAATTTAAACTAGTACATTGTGCAATGTCATTTAATAAATACAATCTGTCAGAAAAATGTCATTTAAGAGTTACATATGAAATAACGTAACCCTTTGAAGCAGTACAATGCTATATATGTTGACCTACAAGTAAACTAAAAGAAGTAAATTTATTTCACAGTAACTATTAGGAAAATGGTAGTCTGCAAGCCTAAATATATCAGTGATGGTAAATCTCAATGAACTCAGTGTGATTTTCATCTAAGTAGATATGTTTACGATTGTTCGGTAATGGATTTTGCAAAATCAAGCTCTAATTTTCATGATATGGATCCAAAAATATCTGAATACAGTAATTATAATAGTTATATGTTAATATGTTCTTTTATATTATTCTATTACATAAAATATTATTTTTTATTACTTTATTGCCTAAAATTGCCTAAAATTACCTCCAAAGTTATTCAATAAGAGTGTGTGGGTATGTGTGTGAGAAAGGAAGTATGTACTGATTAAAATGTGTGTGTCATTTAAGGATGGAAACTTATTAGGACAACAGCCATGTGTTATAGTTTTTAAAATGAGGGATCAATGTTGACTTTCATTTCAAGAATTCTAGTATACCCTGAAACTATCAGAAAGCTGGTAAAGCTTAATGTCTGTTACCTGTTACCTCATTCCCACTCTAATTTTCACTGCCACCTCCATGGCTTCAGTACCAGCCATTTTTCCTCCTCTTTTTTTTTTTTTTGCTTTGTTTATCATATTGTAATGAAAGGAACTCAAACACCTGCAAATTATTTTGTGACACTTTAATTAACTTAATAAAGATGTTCCTCTGCTATAGATTTTGGACTAAGAAAGGCTGTTTACCTTCTTCTTGGATGCTTCTGACTTCTTTGATATGTTCCTCAGCTTCTTATGAAGATGATTGAGGACCTGAAAAGATATAAGCACCTTTCATATGATCAGTTTATTTGTACTATTTGGCATTTTCTTTAAAATATGTACTAATTGATTTTCACAGAAGAAATGTTTAACATATTCCACAACTGTAACTTCTAACTTGCTAAATATATTAATTCTCCTCAAATATAGAAAAATAATGTTTGAAACACATGGTTTGCAAAAATCTATTGAAAAAAATGAACTCTTGGTTGCAAACAATTTCATTATAAATCATAATTTATCAAATCAGTAAATCGGTAAATAAATCACATATTTTAATTGGGGTCTTACCTCAAACAGTCACACCATGAAATTGCAATAGTTGTAACAGGTGACTGCTATTCACCATCTGGCTTGCCTGCTCACATTAAGGGCATATATGCGCTTACCATATAAGTTGCTCCTGCTCTATGTGCACATCAGCTTGACTTTAAGCTAGTTGAAGAAAATCCTGTTCAGTCTGGCATCAGCTTGCAGCTATTCAGCCCAGACTTCAGGCTACCATATTCTCTCCCATTAAACAATTTCCTTGCTGCTATGCCCTCCTACTTTTTTCTTCCAAAACGTGATTGCCAAAACCTTTCCTTTCCGTGGATAGCCTTTCCTGGACATCAGTATTTGTATGGGTATGCACACACACACACACATTTATACATACACACATAAAAAAAATAGATACAGATAACACATACATACATACAAAGTTAAATTAAATTTATATATGCAAGATTATCAAAATCCACATGTATGCAAGCCTAACAAAAAGCTTTTTTTAAAAAAAAATTCCTTGCTACTACATCTGTTTCTAAGGGCTTTTTAATTTTTATTATAATAGTAGAATACTCAGTAAAACTCTTTTTATATAACCCAGAGGCTGCTGGTTCAAAACTGAGCAGGAAAGTGGTTTTTTAATTATTATTGACTTGACTTTGCTTAATTTATTTAGTAAGTGCAATTACATTGTTTCATTGATTTTCTAGTCACCTGAGATAGAAAGGTGTCACCCAGCTTCCAGATAAACCTATAGGTTCCTTGGGTTTTGGGGAAGCTGAGGATGAAGTTAAAGAGATGGTCCTTCCTCTGCAGAGTAGCCACTGAACTACTGTGGCTAGGCTGCAGCAAACTAATACCCCAGGAAAACATGCAATTACCAATCTGAACAACAGTATTTTACTTATAAATGTACCACTATGTTCTACTCAGCAGCCCTTCTAAGCTCCCAAGTTGGGTGAATCTAATGAGAATTGTAGTTTGGAACATCTGGATGGAGATAAATTGGTGAAGACTATTATGTTAAATAACAATATACCACAATGCCCAAGTGAGCAAATTATTATGTATTATGCATAAAAACTGGAAGCTTCAACTTTGCTTCTCAAAGAAGCAACATTGAGAACAAGTTTTGTACTTGAAGGGCAAAAATAGAATATGCGGGTGACTTTTGCCTCCACTCAGAATGCTTTCAAATGCTTTAATGTTAGAAAATGTGAGAAAACAGACATTTGCAAATGTGATAAGCAATAGAATTAATGCATTTTTCACAACTCACAATAGTATAAAAATAGATACAGAGAAAGCTGGTTTCATCCTAAATATAAGATTATGTACATGTTATCCATAGTTAAAGATAATATAGATAATATAAATAGCATCCATTAAAATCAACTAAAACAAACTTATTAACATTAATTAAGTTTATTTAAATCATTTTATTGCATATAGAGATGCAGTGCTATTTATATTTACTTGAGGATAATGCATAGTGCAAATGTTTCACAGCAACCTAATTATGGTTAGTATGATAGACTAAGTAGCTTTGACTCATTTACCACTTTATTTTTTAAAAAAAACATTGTGCTTATACAAACAGTTTAAGGTTATCCAATAAATGTTTTAGTTCAGAATAAAAGTGAAGCATTATATAAGAGACCCATTCAGATCTCTTACTTTTCCAGTGAGATAAGATCAGACTGATATTTTTTCTGTTTTGAATTTTTTTTTAATTGTATCGCTTTTAAAAAAGACAGCCCCAATCCACATCTCACATCTATAAGCTTAACCCTATTCACAAATGTGTGTCAGTTGGCTATGATTACTTAAAGGTAAGGAAAGGGTAACTTATTGTGGGTATTAATGGTGAGGGAAAGGTGCATATAGTTATGCAAAAACGTTCTACAGTATTTTTATTCACTTGAACTAGAAATCCTGGCATTAAGAACAGATACAGGTTTTCTGTTAGTGTGAAACGGGTAATTGGCTGCTAGAAATAAATAATGCGATGTGTTATGATCGTCTATTATGTACAACATATGTACAAGAGCATAAAGCTGTAATTCTGAGAATACATGCCTTGAACCCTATAGGATTTATATCCAAGTAGATTTATGTAAGACTGTGCTGTTGGAGAACCAGAAAAACTTGAATTCTTCTGAGTTGACAGAAGAGGCTTCTATCCTGCATGCATAAAAGAATGGTTATTACAGAAAATTAAGAAATAATACACTGATATAATTCCTATAGATTTTGTAGGATCACCACATTAATTTTCCATACTTTACTCTCACCACTAACCATTAATTTTTTTTTCAAATTTTTATGTTTTAGGGAAAAGTCCTTCTTACAGAATTTTTTTCTATAAATGTATGATAGATAGCAGTTTATTTGTACTACTTATTTAGACTTTTATCCTTTCCTGAGAGCAGAGTTAATATATTCCTTTGTTGACCTTAGTTTTTTTTTTAAATTAAAATATACAGAGATAACTTAGATACGTCTTACTGTGGGACATCATAAACCAATATAACAAAATATTTCAATACTTGCTTTTCTCCTACTGTTTGAATTTAGGAATGTAAGACAGTGAAAAATTGAGAACTATTTCCATATGGTATTTTCATACATGGGACTAGTACAAGTTTCATTATGGAGAGTCTTCCATTAGAAGGTACATGCCTTTAATAGAGAAAATTATTCCATTTAAAAAAGTGCTTCTTGAGATCCAACCGCTTGTTTCAATGTGCTTTGTAATGTAATAAAACTTTATTACTGGAGTGTTGAGTATGAAAAATATATAAACTAGGGGGGAAAAGTGTTGGAATTGTTAGGAAACATAAATATTTTTCTTGGTAGTAAGATAAAAAAAGAATATAGTGCTCCATGCCATTAATAATATTTTCCAATTAATTATTTTAAATTATTGATTTTTTTTTAATCTGTAAAGTCAACAAGTTTTTTAAAATGACAGAACCATTATTCAGAATTATTCTTGTTATAAACATTTATGTATTGGACATGATTTATATGTTGTGCTATTTCTTACCATTTCATTACTGCCATTAGCTATATTGTACTGGGCACAGTAGCTTCTGTTCATGCATTGAGTACACAGAGATTGTACCCAGCTCTAAAAGTTTTCAGCACAAAATGTGGTATAATACCATAACATTTCCAAGGGCAACCGCCTAGGAAAAATCTATTATTTCCTCATATCTAGCCAACTGTATTTTGTTCTTATATGGAGTTCTTTGGATCCAGTTCTCTGCTTATTTTCATTATTGAGTTTATCCTCCTCTATCACTGCAGTATTCAAACTAAGAGCTGCCTTTAAAAACTGATTTTTCTAGAAGTTTTGAAATTGTTCATTTAAGTTATGAATCAATGAATGAATAGGGGACAACTGTACAATGATGTTTTCAGAGTCAAGAATAAGTAAGCATACATATAAAATATTTTTATCTCTGGAAAAATGTAAGATAATGAATTGTATATAAATTGCCTAATTAGTATTTAAATACTACAGTAAATTTATCATAAATATATCTGAATAATACATTACAGACAATATGATGATATATTAAATTAATGCAGCTTGCCAAAATTGGTCTGGCTAAGAGATAAAGCAGTGTCTCACAAGTAATGTCACCCATGCTTTTAGATAACCGCTTATGAATTTGTTCAGCATATGATTTAAATATAGCTAGTAAATTAACCCTTCTGGAATCAATAGGATAAATTAAATGAAACTGATTTAAGCCTCATAAATTTCAATAGGACTTAATCAGGATTACGTTTTAGTTGGATTGGGGCCCAAATAATTCACTTCCAGATCTATTTATCTATCTAACTAACCATCCATCCATCCATTCATCCATCTATCCATCCATATTCATTTATTTATCCATTCATTCATTCAACAGTAGCTGCCTAGAAAGGAAAATAATTGAAGACCATCCCCAGGAAAAACAGAATTCAAACTTTTGCCACTCATCTGTCCCTCACTGCTGGATAGAAACAGTTTTTTGTTTTTTTTAAAACACTGCTAACAGCAGCACCAAATAATTTATCATTGCTTGCCCTATAACAGAGGAAAAAATAGACTGGTTCAGAGAATCAAGAAAATTGGTGATTGAGGTAAATTCAGCTATTTTTCCCAGTTGAAAAAAATTCACCTCAGTGTAAAAAGGCTTTCAGATTTAGAGCTGACGGGCATTATTTTGATACACAATTTTATATTCTATAT